CTAGGTGTGCTGCCCGAAAGGCCCCAATTTTCAAATTTCCACTATTTCCTGCCTATTACCTGGGGAAGCCCCCACTGTGCCTGCCTGGGCAGACTCAATCCATTGGGAGCGGGAAGTCGAGGCAAGGCGGTCACATGGGCCTCGCGCCCCCCGGGTTCACTCACCTGCAGCCTGCGTGCAGCAGGGGCCCCTCTGCTGGTGGCTATCGCACCACCTTTGCCATCTCAGCCCGAGAGCCGGGACAGGGCAGAGCAGCCGTGTGACACGCAGCCAATCAGGCTGCTGGCCGGGCGCTACCGCTCCCCGCTGCAAACCACAGCTGGCTTCCTTCTGATCCGAACAGGCGCCCAACTGCCAGCTGCAAGGCAGAAACCCCGGGCTGGAGGCAGAGGGGTCTGGGGACAGCAGGCCCTGATCCAGCTGTGCCTGCAGGGTGCTGGGGCTCGTGCGGGTAACAAGGCCGCCAGCAGGGGGGCCTTTGGGTGGACTCTCTCTTGCCCCAAGTCAGGGTGATGGGCTCCAATGCTCCCCACTCAGCAGCTCAGAGACCTCATCATCCGTTGAGCGGGCTCTTTCCGCCAGCCCATAACGTGTGCAGAAATCTGTGCTCTGAAAATGCCAGCAGTTCACCACAGGGCCAGCAGGGGGAAGCATGAGCATTGCTTTTGTGTAGGGCCTACAGAAACCAGGGGCAGGGAGCCCATCTCAAGTCCACCTACATCACAGCATTCCCAGGGAGGTGGGAGCCCCTTGTGCTGGGAGTGAGACACAGGCCCTGCTCTCGAGTTTACCCTTTAAATAGCTGGGACAGACCGGGACCCACGTTCCCCTTTCTCAGCTGAGGAGCTGAGGCCCAGGCCCAGAGGCCTCTGCACCCCAGTGTTACGCACCCTCCCAATCCGCACACCCCGGCTGGGCTGCACCCGTCCGTGCCCGGCCCCGCTGTCTGCAGAGTAGTTTCCCCTGGCCATGTCTGCTGCTGCCTCCCGCTATGTGGTGGCCCAGCTAAGCCCAGAGCGACCCAAGAGCCTGAGCTGGCAGCTGGCTTCACAGGGCATCCCCCAGATGGCGTCCCATTGGCATCCTAGACCGAGCAACCTGCGTGTTCTAGGCCCGTGGCTGGGTCGTGGGAGACCAAGTTCCCCCACTGAGGATTTGAACAGGGGTCTCCAGCATCCCAGCTGAGTGCTCAAGCCCTGGGCGAAGGGTCGTAAGGGGGCAGCACCACCCTCCCCCTCCCGTGCAGCAAGGCAGGCAGGCTGCACTCGGGCCCCAGAGCCAGCTTGGGCGTCAGTCCTGGCAGAGGCTTCCTGGCTGTGGAGCCCTAGCGGGCAGCAGCATCTACGGCTGCCAGGCCTTGTGCCCAGCTCCAAGAGGGGTGGGGCTTCGGACACACCCGTCTCGTCAGCATCGCCCATTGGCTAGTTTAGCCGGCTCCTCCCCTGCTGGGCTGGGTTTTATGGATCCTATTTGCCAGCCCCACAATGGTGGAGATGGTCCGCCCATAGGGATGGGGGAAGCGCTGGATGGGCCCAGCCCCACAGTGGGTGGGAACAGCCCACAGGGATGGGGGACAGGGGCAGCATTGGATGGGCCCAGATCCGCAGTGTGTGGGAATGGCCCATAGGGATGGAGGAACAGGAACAAGCCTGGACAGGCCCCAACAAACAACAGCAAAAGGCCCGAGTTGCTGCCTCTTCCCCGCCTCCAGACCCGGAAATTCAGAGGACAGGGAAGAAGGCAGCAGCCATCCCCTCCGTCCCCAGCAATGCACACCCAGCGCTCTTGGGCTGTGTCTAGACTGGCAAGTTTTTCTGCAAAAGCAGTTGCTTTTGCGGAAAAACTTGCCAGCTGTCTACACTGGCCACTTGAATTTCCGCAAGAACACTGATGATCTCATGTAAGAAATCAGTGCTTCTTGCGGAAATACTATGCTGCTCCCGTTCGGGCAAAAGTCCTTTTGCACAAAAGCTTTTGCGCAAAAGGGCCAGTGTAGACAGCTCAGATTTGTTTTGCGCAAAAAAGCCCCGATCTTGTGGAAAAGCACGTCTAGATTGGCCATGGACGCTTTTCTGTAAAAAGTGCTTTTGCGGAAAAGCGTCCGTGCCAATCTAGACGCTCTTTTCTGCAAATGCTTTTAATGGAAAACTTTTCCGTTAAAAGCATTTGCAGAAAATCATGCCAGTCTAGACGTAGCCTTGCAGTGCAGCCGCCTCTGGGGTAGTTACCAGCTGGAGTCAGAGCTGTGGGAGGCAGCTCTGGCTGGGACCCACACTGCTCTTGCAGAGGTGTCTGCGAGACCCGTGCACAGGCAGCCAGGGTCCTACCTGCAGTGAGCTGCTCCGAATCCCCTGCCTGGACTGCCTGCTCCAGCTCAGTCCCTCAAGCAGCTCCTGCAACACGCCCCTCTCCACATCCTCTCCAGCATGTTGGCATGTGCCAGTTTCGCTCCCTTGACGTCTGTTTCTGCTCTGACTCATGGGAGCCCTGATTCACCTGCCCACTTCCTGTCTCGGCCAGGAGGCTGTTAGCACAGATCTTGCTCTGGGCCGGGCAGGCTGGTTTGGTGCCAGAGCTGAATGGGCAGCAGGGACAATGCCATTGTCAGGTGAACCACGCAGCGGTTAGCATGGCGGGCCCATCTAGCCCGGTATCCCACCTGCCGTAGCTGCCGGCAAGGCCACCCGCAGAGGATGCCCCCTAGTGGGCATCATGGAATAACCTGCTCCCAGGGAAAGTTGCTACTTAACCATTAGCTAAAGGTCAGCTCAGGCCCTCAAACACTGGGGCAGCTGACAGGGTGGGAGCCTGGCAGGCAGCTACTGCTGTGGGGGCATAACTCAGCTTCGCTAGATAGTCCAGCCTCGAACAGCTGAGATCCCCTCGCTTGGCCAGAGGAAAACTTCGCTTTGCCAGGGAGGGTCCACCCACCTCCCCCTCTTTTCAAGTCCCACCTGCAGCACCATGCCCTGTCCAGACCGAGGGGAATTATGGATGAATTCAGGAGCCCTGGGGCCAAGGGACACTTGGGTCACCACGCCGACAGCCTGAGCGTGACGAGAGCCTGTTCAGCATGGAGCAATCCCTCCGAATGGCCAGCCAAGGTCAGAACGTGAGTGTGCTGAACCCCGCTGGCGTGTTACTCCTAGGGCGGGTGGCCAGACTTGGGGCCTGGGAATGGGGCCGGACTGTCAGCCCTGCGGAGGGAGCCTCTCGCTCTCGGCTGTGGGATGCCCTTCAGTCATGGCTCCATGGCCCAGCAGCTGCCAGTTAAGACTGGTCTGTGTGCGGTGGACTCCAGCCCTACCAGAACCGGGACCTAAAGCCACCAAACATCCGAGCTGGCAAAGGCTCTGGGCTGGATCCTGAGCTGTCCCATTCACGTCAGCAGTGATGCTGATTGCACCAGCGAAAGGTCCAGCCCTCCGCCCCTTGCACAGAATGTAAGGCCCCATGGAGCCACAATGCTCACAGTCTGACCTTCAGCACAACCCAGGCTAGAACAGCGCGCCCAGGTCCAGCGCTCAGCCCATATCTTGTGTGAGAGTTGCCATGGCTCTTTGAGAAACCCTCCTGCTCAGGAGCTGGAGAATCCACCCCACCCCACCAGCATTTCTGGTGGCGCGTCACCCCTCCCTGTTAAGTATTTGCTCCTTAGGTTCAGTCTACACTGGCTTTAAATTCCAGCCATTGAATTGTGTGAGGCCATTGGCTGCTAGTTGTGGGAGCAGCCTTCTTTCATCACTGTGATCATCCAACCCTGAGCACAAAGGTGGAAAGAGCCCCTGGCTGGAGGCTGAAGCTCCATCAAGCCAGGCTGGAACTGAGATGCGCATGAAGGAAATGAAGGACTGGGACTGGTTCCAGGAGGTGCAGTGGTGTCTCCATCGCTAACTCGAGATAGGCTGTATCTCTCTGGGGGCTTGTGCTATAGCCCCACCACAAGAGATGGGCTGGCTGCAGGAGTCGCTGGGTGCGGTTCTATGTGGTTTGTGTTACGTTGGCCAGACTAGGTGTTCACAATGCTCTTCTCTGGCCAAGCGGTGACTATTTTTAACACTGACGCGTTCCAGATGCACTCCAGAAGAGGCGCTGCCCCGCCAGCCGTTCCCGGAAGAGAAGCGCCTGTCAGAGCCCAGTTAGTAAGACAGTGTAAATAGTTTATTGGTTTTGATGTTTTTCTTTTTTTGAAAGTACAGATGTTTTTGCACAAGTTAGTGTTTTAAATGGGCAGGGGCTGAAGAGGACGAAGGGTACAGAGGGGTAGGTCACTGCTACACAGATACACCAGACGCATGAGTTTGGGGCTGGTCGGCCCATCAGGGGCCAGTTACAGAACCATCAAAATGAACCAAAATTCACTGCAACCTGAGAGCACTTCTTGGACATGGAGCCAAATGGGCTTCCCCACGGCTGAGCTGGGTGCCCCTGGCAGCGTAGGCAGGCAGCAGCCAAGGGAAGAGCAGCACCAATCTGACAGGCCTCTGCACACTGATTGCCAGCAAGGGAGGCAGCCGTGTGTTGGGAGTCCCTGTGGTCTGGGGTGTCCATAATGACTCTCTCCACTGCCAAGTCCCCTCCTCTGTCTCACCCATGTCACCTTCTCTGGAGAGCTGGAGAAACTGGGACCAGTTCCACAGCGGTGGAACTTTGCAACTCCAGTGGGGCTCTAGGTACCCCAGCTGGGGATCTGCCCCCTGACTCCTACGAAGCAATACAGATTTACACCAGCTGGGGATCTGGCTCCCCTTCTCCCCCCATAGAGCAATACAGATTTACACCAGCTGGGGATCTGGCCTGACTCCAATAGAGCGATGCTGTTTTCCATGAGCTGGGGATTGGTCCCGCAATTGCTGATCCCTAGTGGGTGAGTTACCCCGCTGCATGTGTGAGTACTGGCCAAGAACCCCGGGTTTAACCTCACCAGTCTTGCTTCCCAGCAGAGTAACTGGAACCAGTGACCAGGTGGCGGTGGAGTTTCCATCACCAATGGATTTTAAAGCAACGCTAGATGGCCACAATGATCCCTCTTCTCGTGGGATGAGGGATCTGTAATTCCTGATCATCTCCTTCATTCGGTCTTCTACGCTCTCTGCTTCCAGCTGGTAAGTGGGAGCTGTTAATGCCCCAACAGCCCAGTGGCTTCCCAGCATCTATTAAAGAGCAGGCTGATGGCACAAGGCGGACAAACAGAAGTGACAGAAACAGATGTTTTTGCTCTTACATGTGGAGGCTCCCCTGACAGCAGTGTCACCAGACGTGCTTCCTAGAGGTGGATTTGAACCCAAGTCCTGGCTCCAAGTGCCTCCTGGGGGGAGTCCAGCCTGAACTTTAAGCCTCTTTTATCTCCCCTTCACTGTTTCTCTCTGAGTCCTGAACTCAAGACATTAGTAGCAGTTTGAAGTCTGCTCTGATCATCCCCAAGGGACACCTGAGGCAAGTTCCTTCCCCTCTCTGGGTCCCAGTCCCCCACCCCTCCATTATGTCTGTCTAGCCGTAACTCTTTGGGGTAAGGACGGTCTCCTACCAAGGTCATGTTCTGTGCTGTAACATTCTCACACAGAGGATGAACCCTCCCGCCCAGAGCAGCAGGATACAGCCTGCAAAGCGCCAGCAAGACCATGCTCCCAGCGCTAGGAGCTGTGCTCCTCATGAGGGTGATTTCCCTAGAGCGCTGTGGGGTCTTGCCCAGCCCTGGTGCTGGGACCACACTAACCTGCTGCTGGGATCGATAAGGCCTCAGTGTGTTTGAGCAACACCCATCTTATTCGGAGCCCTTCAGCACTGTCAGATACACCTAAGAGTTCATCCAGCACATCCCACAGCGTTTTCCAAACAACAGCCCAGCCATCCCATCACTGGTTGGGGAAACTGAGGCAAAGGAAGTGACTCACACTGTTCAATCTGGAGCCCAAGCCAGGATTGGAACACCAGAGACCCTGGGCTCCCAGACCATACTCTACCCACTAGGCCAGGCTTCTCCCACCCTAAAGGGCAGGATCCAGGTAAAGCACCCAGGAGCCCACTATACCCTAGCTATGCCTCACTGGCGCTGCCCACGGCCCTGGCTGTGCTGAGCGAAGGCTCACCACAGTGGATCAGCCCAACGACCCATCCTGTTCTGTCTCCAACTGGCCTGTCCCAGCTGCCTCAACACTTGTAGCAGGCAGGCAATTGAAGAAGCAGCAAAGGGAGCAAAGCCGCCAGGTTCAGGGCAGCTGGGGGTAGTGGAAAGGTCTGGCTGAGGTTAGCCCGTGGCCTGATGAGTTGTACTTAGGCTACTGCTGGGAGGAGGCAGGCATGTGTCACCAAGCAGACGTGCCCTGCCGTCCCGGATGCGGCCGGTCGGATCTGCACAGCTGCAGCCTACTACAGAGCACAGAGCAGGCCAACTTTTGGCACCTTGTTTTAGTTGCCACTCAAAATCCGTACAGGAGAAAACCGAGCAGACCCCAGCCTGAGTCGCTCGAGAAGGGCCTTGCCAGAGCCGCGGGGGGTGGGGAGTGCATTGCCCCTTTAAATGCAGTGCAGTTTGCTATAATCAGAATCCAAACCCCTTCCCTAAGCCCCAGTAGCCAGCCCTGCAGGTGGGACGTACAGGTGTCTGTGATGGAGCCGACAGCAACACGCCCTTCAACGGGCAGGCCAGGGGACCATCCAAACCGCTTTCTCCAGCGCCTTAGGCTTTGCAACACTCAGCCACGTGTACGAGCCATCAGAGTCCCCGAAGCCCCCTTGCATGGAGAGCCTGGGAAGGAACCGGTGGCTGAACTGGTCCTGTCTGGGGGATGGAAGCCAGCCACAGCCTTTCCCCAGTGCCCAGCAGTGCGGTTTGCAAGAGGCCTGTGCTCCCAAGCAGACCGCAGGGGCGCTATGGAGAGGGAGCCCCCGGATGCATTGCTACTGGGGGACAATATTCTGCTCTGATGCCCTCTGGCTGGGCATTTTCACGGACAGCAATGGGGACAGGCCATGGGCGGCCAGTCACTCCGGGTGGGGCGAGAATGCCACCCGTGGTTACACCCATGCAGTGCCAGCCATGTCAGCGGCATTGCCCGGGCGTCAGCAGGGGCAGACCTGGCCTTCTGGTCATGCACCCGGCTGCAATGCAGACTTGAACCAGGGACCTCCAGTGGGCTGCAGGCAGCAGCCCTCTCGAGGAGTCAGCTCATGGCATCTGCAGGGAATGCTGCTCATCTCCTCCCTCCTGGCACAGCACTTGGGACGCTGTGCTGGCTCTGAGAGCTAATTCCTTATGGGGGGAATGGGCGGGGAGCTGGGACTCGACACCTGACTGCTCATGGGTAGCGGTGGACGTGGACAGGCATCTGGGGCCCAGTTCCGCCATTACTGACTGCAGTGCGAGCCCCAGAAACCACTGGGTGGGCGTAAGTGGAGCAGGCTTCCCGCCCAGCAGAGCAGGCGACTGTCTGCTTCCCGCGGCCCAGCCATGCCCCAGCCTTTGCAAGGCAGGACCTCTCTGCTGGAATGCGACAAACCTGCCCGAGGGGACTGAGTCGGGGGCCCTGACTGAAGCCAAACTCCCGGCGGAGTCAGAGAGCCGGAGCCAGAGGTGGTGACGGGTTTGGGAAGGTTCCTCGGAACGTACGCAGCAAAGCTCTGACTTCAAAGCCATGTTGTGCCTAAGTGCTGAGGGCCAGATCGCCAGTGGGTGTAAATTAGTGTCACTCTGTGGAGCCGCAGGCTAACCCCGGGTGTGCACCCAGCTCAGTGGGGCCCTGCTGCTTTGCACTAGCTCCGGGGCTGGAATCTCCCGCTGTGGCCCAGCACCGCTCCTAGTCCTTTGGAGCCTTTCCTTAGGCAAAGCTCTCCGGCCTGGATGGGGGAAGGCCGAGCCCAGGAGGGTAGCGGGACAATTTGGATCAGTTACGCCAGCGTCAAGCCCACTGAAACCAATGGGGGAAGGAGCATTTCCAGCGGGGCCCTGCCCCCGGGCCGCGCTCGGAGCTGGCGCGACACAGAATACATCCATCGAACACCAAGGTGGTGCACGCGGCCTCCGTGCCCAGTACACGGGCTCACAAGCCATCGGCTCTTGGAACAGTCCCCAGTGCAGCAAGCAGCACCGGGCCGGCCAAGGCAGCGGCAGAGCCAGCCCCCCA